ATTGCCCCATTGGCATTAGCAATTGTAGTCCGTCTTGGTGGTGAAGTCTTTGAAAAATCAGTAGCATCATAGGTCATGTGGTCAGTAGCTCTTGAGTCAAGTATCCATGCCTTGTTATCAATGGTCTTGTTGGGAAGATTGTTACCTGAATCCGAGAGGTGAACTTCTCCCTGTGGTGTGAATGAGAGTCGAGATTCTGTTGTAACTGTTGCAGCCTTGTCTTGGCGTTTTCGAGCTTGGAGTTCATGCCACCAGTCAGGATAGCCATGTAGCTTGAAGCAGTTCTCCCGGGTATGCTTTGAGTTGCCACAATGAGAACATTTAGTACCACTAGAAGATGCTCGAGATTTAGAGGACGTACCAGATTTTTCGTTGCTTGCAGGCAGAGAGCCCGTTGAAGAGGGCGTAGGTTGCCCAGTCTTAACACCTTTAGAGGCCAAAACTGCTCCTGGAGTTTCAATATGGTTGCTGGTTATCATGACCCTCTGTCGGATAGCTTCTCTCCGAACATGTGCGTAAGCCTGTTCAATAGTGGGAAACAGATGCATTTGGAGTACATCTGCCTGAATCTTGTCTAGTCTGTCATCAAGGCCATCCAGGAAGATATACACTCTCTCCTCTTGAAGGAGAGTATTGTACTGTTGAATATCCATCGCACACTCCATCGGATTCGGACGGCAAAAATCAATTTCTCTCCACAATCCTTGGAGATCATTATAGTACTTTTCAAGAGACCCTCCAGAATGGCGCAAGCGGGTCACACGGCGCCAGAGATCGTATACTTGCGAGGTATCAGTGCCATCAAAGTATGTAGTAGCCACAGAATCCCACACCATCTTTGTTGTAGGGAATCGAATAAAGTTACCAATCAAGGATACGTCCATGGAGTTAATTAACCAACCTTTGGCAATAGCGTTGTCGGTGTGCCACCTTCGAAAGGTTGGGTCAGTCTGTGGAGGCTGAGGAAGTTCGCCATTAATATATCCCAGTTTGTCTCTACCAGAAATATACATCTCAACAACTTGGGACCAAAGGGCATAGTTGGTGCCGTCCAACTTAATACCGATCTGAGCGGCGGAGGTTTCTGCAGTTGAGATCGGTCTGTGTAGGAGTTCAGTCATTCTGGTGGTCAATTCAGTGAGAGTAGGAGTAGGCCGTTCTTCTCCAAATGGATCTGAGGTTTCCGAATCAGACATGATTGTGCCTGTCGAAGGGTGTTCTTGCCGACGGCGTCGTGGTAGTAGAAGGAAGTCAGCAATCTCCCCCAACACTGAGTGTCGGGGAACGGTGTTCAGTCATTGCAGATCGCGAAGAGACAGGTGGATTGCAGCGGCAGTAACAGTTGTCAGCCATCGTCGACAACGGTGGAATCACAGCTCTGATGTGAAGGAAATGAGGGCTGCGCTTAGCAAGAGTTCGCAATGGCAATATCAGCAGGTTGCAGCGGTAGTAGCACCGTCGACCACGATGAGGCGGTGAGATTGCAGTAGAGCACCTGTCGGTCTTGCAACGACAGTAATAGTAGCCAACCACTGGGGTCCGCGGTGGGGTTGATAGTTCTGGATAGATCCACTGCCGGACTTGCAGCGGTAATAGCAGCGGTCACCTACCGGCAACCAAGATTTCGCAGCGATCAAGACCTGCAGCGGAGATAGCAGCGATCACCTCCCGATGACCAAGATTTCGTAGCGACCAGGATTTGCGGCGGTAATAGCAACGGATAGAGCCACTGTCGGCGACCAAGATTTCACAGCGATCAAGTCACCGAGTTTATCACAGATCGGTATGCTCTGATACCATGATAACTCGAGTAGAATGAGAAACTCTTCTTCCTTTTTTTCCTTATTGTTCTTCCTTTACGGGGAATGAGATATATATATATATATATAATTCTGGTTCTACCTCTCCTAGTTACATACAAACTTAGGATGAGATTTATCACTGAATTCAAGAGATATCCCCTAATTTTAAAGCTCACGCCACTAATAAGAAGGTATATTAATTTGACAAATATGATTAGACTTATGAAATGACCTCAGTTTACAATTAATGTAATTAACATACTCTCACAATTAAGCATACAACATGTAACAATAAATAACCATAATAAAAATTGGTGCATGTTGACCCTAACACATCTTAGAGTCTGTCTATGCAAAACCCAAGAACAGAAACTTAATGACCAAATAAAGTACACATGTTGACCCGACCAGTAATGAACCTGAATTGCAGTAATAATTCATAAGCATCAGAGCTGTTTAACAATTTTAGGCATTGATCGATTCAATGAACCTGCAAAATTTATTCTTTTCTTATTATGGAGCTACAATTGGATATGAACCTTTTTACTTTCACAACTCAGACTAGAAACCACTAATCTCATCCAAAGGTTGATAACTTGGGTTTGGGGGCATTAACGACACAGATGTCAAGAAGACGATCAACTGATGTATACTGATAATCAGGAAATAAATTGGATGCCTCCAAATCATCTTCCCGTAGTTCAAAGATCAACTGTGCTCCCACGGCGAAGATGTTGTGAAGGATGGAAACTGGTACGTTATCTGGATGCGGCAAGGCTGAAGAAAAAAAATCAAAAAACAAAACTATGTATAAGGGTTTAAGATAAAAAAAGAACACTAATTTAACTGAAGAATGGAAAAAAAATGCAACCCAGCAACGATTTCTTACTTTCAGAGAGCTTCATAAGTTCTTCACCTGGGATATGAACCTTCCTCAGACTCCGTCCAGACTTGTTTTCCCAGGCTGAGATAAGTTCCAACTGGGTTATAATATTTCCTGGCGGCCTAATGATCATAAGGCGATGGCGTGTTCTGGGGTCCGTTGCAGCTTTTATTGTATAGGTAGCCACATCCTCCTCGAAATTCAGTACCGCTGATGAATAGTCACAAAGAAACCAAAAGCTGGAGTATATATCTTTGATCAATTGATAAGATGCGTCTGTAGGAAGCCTATACCTTTGGCTTTGCCGCAGCGGCAAAGAGAGGAAGTTTACAGTCTACGGCAGCGGCGAAGTGGATGGAGCAAGTAATCTGTCTATACCTTTGGCTTTGCCGCTGCCGCAGACTGTAACTTCCTCTCTTTGTTCATGTGGATGGAGCAAGTAATCTATGAAATATGCAGCCAAGGAGTTAGCAGAGACGAAGGTGTATTGATCAGATGTGGATGGAGCAAGTAATCTGTCTATACCTTTGGCTTTGCCGCTGCCGTAGACTGTAACTTCCTCTCTTTGTTCATGTGGATGGAGCAAGTAATCTATGAAATATGCAGCCAAGGAGTTAGCAGAGACGAAGGTGTATGGGATCCCAGCTGCCTCCGTAGCTCTTCTGATCTTCTTCTTGTTGTCAAGGATAGCTTGGAAAGGTGGAAGAGCTGTAACTCTATCAGCTTCGTTGCCGTATTCTGATGGGACAAATCTCTGAGCGGGATGAATATAGCACAATCAAGACAAATTTATAACTGATGATTTCAGTATTGCAAACAAGACAGAGGGTGATAAACGTATTACCTTAATGTTACCAGCTTCCTTGATGGCATTTATGATTTTGATCTGCTGAAGATACTGAGGAACTGGAAGTGTAGAGATCACCACATCTACTTGTCGAATCACTTGCACAAGCTTCTCATGTTCATCCAAGTCTCCCTGTGATCAAGTGATCTGAATGGTTATTATATATTAACTGTAGGTGGATTTACAGTATGAATGAATTAAGGGTCTAATCACCATGAGAGCTAGAGAAGACTAGAAGAAGGGAGCTGATCAGGGTTTTATAATTATATATAATTACTTGAAAGATGGTGACGCCCATAGACTCCAACTCTCGGTGCTGCTGCTCTTGCTTGGAGGAGATTGTTCCAGGTGTGATAGGCCGTGCATATACATGGGTTGGGTGTCCCATTGAAACACTTGCCTTCACCATGTACATGCCAAGATATCCAGTTCCTCCAAATATTAGTATCTTGCTTCTCTCGCCGGCCATCTCTCTCTCTCTCTCTCTCTCTCGGTGGAGGAAAATGGAGAATTCTTTCTCTTGCTCTGTGTTCTGGGGGGAGGGAATGGAAAATTTATTGGAAGATGAGGAAACAATTTCAACGTGGCATACAATTCAACGATTCAACGATAAGACATATGATAATTGTATTATTTTATATTTGTTTAATTTTTAATTCTTATAAATAAAAAATAAAAAATTGTAACGCTAACGTGGCATTTTTGACAAATATAGTCCGGCCTGATACGACGAAATGAAGTTCTGATATACATCGGGTCATTCATACTTAAAATTGATTTATCAAAAGCTTATGACCGTATTAAGTGCGCTTTTCTCCTAAAAACTATAATATTTTGAATTTTCTGAGGCTAGTGCATTTCTTCCCCGAGTTTCTCTGTTCTTATTAACCTTGTCCAATCAAATGGTTTTCTCCTACTCAAGGTCGGTGCCCCCTTTCCCCTAACCTATTTTTTATTGGTACAGAAGTTCTTTCTAGAATGTTGGAAGAAAAATGTTCACAAAATTTAATTCATGGGTTTAGATTTCGTAATTTTGGAGTAAATCTTACGCATTTACTCTTTGTTGATGATCATGTCATATTCGGTAGGTGCAGGATATAAATTTCCAAAAATCAGCTTTCAGTTCAGTGGTAACACTCACAGAAGAAGAAGATCTATCATTCTTTTGACCTTTGATGTTACCTCTCTGAAGGCGAATGATAAATATCTCAGTGGGCCCTTACTTATGGGTAGAGCTAAAGTATTGGAATGATAAATATTTCAGTCTTACCCCAAGGCTTGTTAAAAGCCTGAAACCATGGGAATAGCAGATTTGTCCTCATCAGTGAGTAGCGAGCAGTATATAAATGTTAGTAGTATTCTCTTAGTTATTTAATTATTTATTACATAGATATCAAGTTTCCTTAATTCATATGTAACCATATGGTCTGGTTGCAATGGTATATTTTAATGTGGCAATACAATACACGCCATCGGAAATCTTTCTTATTAATTTAATTAGTATGTCATTAACAACCAAATGGCAATGCTTATCGCCGGAAAGGTAACTGAAGCTTCTGCTTTTGAAGAGGTGGTCATACTATTACTCCTTGTTTCTAATTTTGGCCTATCTTCTTTTCACTTCAGGGTGGTGGTTGGATGATTTAAATTAATGAAATCTCTTTGGCTAATCTGCACCATCAGGACATTATTACAAAAATTCACCCATGTACAAGTCATTCACATCCACCGTCAATCTAATGAGGTAGCACACATTTTAGCCAAGCGTGGATGTTATTTGTCTACCAGTTGCTTTATGTGATTCTTTTGTCGAGGTTTTTTTGGAGAAATAGGGATAGGCCCAATACAGATTTCTGATTTTCACTGCAGAGTTATAAATATTTAAAAGGTCAAAAATTCACACTCTATGCATTTATATCCAACCGTGAATTGTGAATTGACATCAATTCCAAACTGACACTTACCCTAAATATATTTTGAGCCTACAAATTATCATCCTGGGCTGAATTGTCATTCTCCCTTGTTCTTTTACATATCATTCAAAAGGATAGTGGCTTGTACTGATGATGAATTATTAGTTTTTCAGATATCATGCCTTTTCGGTATCATAGTCCAACCCTCTATTTTTCCACCTCTTGTTGCAGTCGTTGGGGTCTCTTCATTCTTTCTGCTTGTTTGGTTGCAATGCAGATAAATTTGTACCGATAAAAAATTATGACAGTGCAAATGATTTTAGTGTAAACTCCGACTCATTTTTGTGTCAAATTTTAGCTTATTTCTTATTTTATTTGATTGCAGTACAAATAAAATAAATTAAGACATGAAGCTGAATAAAATAAAACCCAAAATAATAGAGTCTAGATTTTCATCATGTGTCCCAATTATATATTTGATTGTTATAAGCTTTGGTTATTTCTCCTACATTATTAATTATATACTTGTATTTTAGTATGTTTTATTTAGTCATCCATAAACATATATAAATAGGTTAGCTTGCTTCATTGGATAAAGGACCATATTGGAATATATTATATATATGGAATGTGCTTTTCTAAGTTCCAACTATATAGGTATAAAGTAACATATAAAGTCTAAAGTCTAAAGTCTAAACAAAACCCAAATGAAGTCTAAAGTTCTAACTATATAGGAATGTGCTTTTCTAAGTTCTATTTTCGTATGTATTTAATTGGACGACAAAACCCAAATGAAGTCTAAAGTCTAAACAAAGGCAAAACAGCAAACATGAGAAGAAGCCACTCAGACCCAGCCAATCTGCCTAGGTTTAACCAAGCCCTCCTTGAGCTTAGTCTAAGTCATGTTGGGAGTGGCTTAATTGGTTTGGCAACCCGGGTTTTGACCTCATATAGCCTGAGCATGAGGTCTAAATCTTAGGGTTAGGCCTATGTTTGAAAATCAACATGGTTTAATCCGCCCAATTTAAATCCGTACTGAAATTTACTCCGATGTTACAATGTTGCAAATTTCTAAGAGGAACATCTCAGAGCACAAGCTTCAAAACTAATATAAACAAAAGGAAGAAATTTCCACGAAACTTGCTCGAGACAAATATTCAGATCCCACAAAGGTATCTTTGGATATTTACGAAAAAAATGTTTTCTTTGGATCACCATTTCACCTTTGATCTCAACTTTGTCCCACTAGTATCATGTAGAAATTGGATTTAGTCCTTACAAAATTGTTCTCACAGCCCTTTTTAGTCATGTATTGGGAACATCTCCCCATAAATAAAAGAAAAAAAATACAAGTATAGAAATTGTTCTTAAGGCATAGTTGAAAAGGGCTGTGAGAATGGTGTGAACACTATTTTGTGAGTATTGAAACTACCCTCATGTATCACCAGCAGCATAGATTTTTTCTAAGGCTTTGATTGGAAAAAGTATAAATACTGGTTGTGTGCATATATACACTTCAGTTTTGTAGGTCTTTGGGAAGAATGTATGTGTATTGAAAATGACAAAAAACATGAATTTCAAGATATATTTGCATCCAAAATGAGAGCAAAGTTTGCATCTAAAAAATGGATGCAAACTTTGCACTCAAAATTGATAAATATAATAAAAAAATAGAGGGTTCCAATATCAAGATTCATGTTTGTGCCTATCACAAAAAAAAAAAAATCATTTGGCAAAAGCACAAAATTGCCATTACAAAATTAAACCAACTTTACATTTTTATGAACCAAACATTTGCATTTGTAGTGATCAATTTTTTTATTTGAACTTTTATTCAAATGGAGGCTAAATTAATAAACACAGGAAAGAAAAGTTTTTATTATGATCTTTTGTTCTAACCATGAATTGGACTTATCATATTCACATTCAAGGTCATGGAGACTCATGGATACAGCAAAATACTAAGGGTTTGGGGGTTTTTTAAAGTTTGGAATGAAGGAATCAACAACAACAACAACAACAACAACAACAACAATAGTAATAGTTTAGTCTATTGATACACATTGATACCCAATTTTTGTATTGGTGTATATTAATATTTTTATTCTTAGTTCTAACTCGTCCAAATTGTTGTAGAGAGATTCTTTGGTGGAAGACTTCTCCTTCTTTTCTCTACCAAGTATGAATTTATTGGTCAATTTATTTTTAATTTTTTAATATACTTTTAATTTAAGAAAAACAAGGGAAACCACCAAATGGAGGGCTAAATCTGTAATAGGAAGTATAGAAAAATGTGTAGAAGAAAGAGTGCAGGAGACCCAAGTTCCAAAAGGTATCAAATTACAATTTTGCTCTTCAATTTTTTTGTGTTGTTGCTCTTTCAATTTTGTTTTTTTTTTTATGCCATTATGTACTAAAAGTGATAGATTTCTTATCTCTACATTCTATGCCATTATGAGCTACTTTCCCCGTAAGTGCTTATTTTAGTAGAAATGAAAAAAAATACTTAACCAAATAAGAATTAAGAATGATGGAATAACAAATTGGAAGAAAAATAGGAATTTTATTTCATTTAAATTTGAATGATACAAATTACAAAGCATACAATGGTTGGATATTTGGATGATTGAAATATGAAAATAGAATAAATTAATAAAATATAAAAAATACAATATAGTTACAAATTGAAAATACAAAATTACATTGTTAACTATTGTTTATGAATCAATAGTTACAAATTGAAAATACAATATAGTTACAAATTGAAAATACAACTAGTCAACTATTGTTTATGAATCATGACTTTCATCATCTGTTTCAGGTGAAATATCCAGTGTAGTATCATGCCCTCCTTTGTCTTTTAATCTATCTTCTGCATCTAATTAACCCTTAAAGCATATGCACATCTCTATACTTTCATCGTTCATGCAGCTCCTCTTGTCGTCCAATACCCTGGTACCTACGCTAAAACAAGATTCCAATGGAATTGTAGACACCAGAGGGATTAGTAGATCACGTGCCATGGTGGCGAGAACTGGATAATCTTTTGAATGTTCACTCCACCAGGCAAAAATATCAAAATTATTTGTTCCCTCACCTAAACTAAAAAAAGTTGCTTGTAAATAAATACTAAGTTCAGTAAATGAACTTGTTGTAGAAGTAGTAGATTTCTGCCTTCTACTTGTTAAATAAAAAAGTTTTTCTCTTCTATTACTGGGTTCAAGATCAGAAATAGAAGATGTTAGATGCTGTGCAAGTTGTAGGATTATTTCCTATTGCTTCAAATTCATATAAACTGTACATTTCAAATAATGAATTTTTAATTTCTTCTTTTTTATTTCCAATTTCAAAAATCATATTTTCACAATATGTTTCAAGTAAAATATCTAAACCATCTTTCCTAATCTTAGGATCTAATATTGTAGCTAAGCAATAAAGGGGAGAAATGTTCTGCCAATATTTTTTTAAAATTTATTTTTCATTATTTCAACAATACATTTAAATTGTGGATTATTTCTTCTTTCTTCTCATGTGTGAAAAAATGTCTGCTCAAATGGCCAGTACCACCCTTGTTACAATAGCTAAAGTCTTTTCTACATTTTTGGCAAACTACTCTTTTTCCCTTCCCCTCAACATCCTCTAT